AGAAATTTCATTTACATGCAATTTTGTGTCTCAAAGTACTTAACTGCAAAATTTAATTTCTTCACGTGCTTGGTTTAATTTATTTTTGACTTGCACCTACATGTATAGTCACTAACTTTTGCATCTAACAAAATTAATTTCATATTATTTATATATATCATTTTCATCATTATTATTGTTAATACTCACCTACATATATGAATTACATTAACTCTAATTTACCATTTAGAACAAAGAACACTAACATTTAATACATCATTGATGAGTTGTCATGTCTATCTACAATAATTAATAAATTATATATTGATAAATTACTTTTTACATAAAACACTTAAGAAAGTGTAAATATAACTTTTCTATGAGAATTAAAGTTTTTATGGACAATATATCCACTCTATCCTTACCTACTATAATTATTCAAGCTTTGATGAATAATATATCTCCTTTTATAGTGTCATAAAACCAAATTATCACACTTTCATATATTTCTTAGTTAATCTTATTTTGTTGACTAATTAAATACACAATTAAAAAAATATATCTTGTTCATAAATAAAAACATTAAAATTTTAAAAGTAATATTTTTGTATATTTAATCAAATTAAAACTAAAATTAAATAACTTAATAGTTTTTTTCAATTTTTAATGTAACAATAATAATAGAGATTATTATATGAAAACATATTTTATAATTGTAAATCATATAACATGATTTAAAATTATGTGATATTATTATCAACGGAGGTTGGTTCGAGTAATAATATTATTATTTTAAATTAATTTATTTTGATCTAAATATAAATTTAAAAAAATAAATATTAATTTTACATTTCATTGCGAAATTAATTATGCAAATTACTAAAGAAAAGGCCAGCGAACTTTTTCACTGTAAATGTAAATTTCATAGTAATGGTCAATTAACACCAAAAGTCAGTATCTCTCCCCATCACAACGTATACATTTACAAAAATATAAAATTCACACTTTTGAAAAACAGAAGATATTAAATAATATTAAAAACTTTTTCATTAGCACGATCTATCTATACTGAGAATTCAAAAGTTTTTAAGATTTTTTAAAAGTCAATAAAATTACTTATGCATGAATCAAATTTAATAAATCAATAATTAATAATATATTTTTAAAAAAATTATAATGATGTAAACATGTGCTAATTTCTGATAATATTTTAACGGACAAAATTAGTCGTTTATGAATAATATAGCAGCTAGTTTCCTGAGTGCCCCATTTGAAGCACTCTTACATGCACCTAATTTATTTATCTTCTCTAAGGTATTTTTAACTATTAGTAAAGGTTTTCTGTCACACGTGTAGAATATATTTTTACCCTTTTGTTATTTAAATATTTAAAATTAACATTATTTGTCATATTACAACAATTATTTATATTTCATTCATTTTATTTTATCATTTTCATTATTTACATCTTAAAAATAGCAATTGTTTACCATCCTATTTTATTATTCACGTAACATTTTTCTAGCGTAAACATTTAACCGTATATGTAGTTGCTTAATTATCAGGTAAGCGATGCTATTGCTATTATTCTCTTTCAAACAAATTTAACAAAAACATCAAGTGTAAGGATTAAAATAAGTTATGTTGGGATAGCTTTTGCATATATAAGTTTAGTTTATTTAATAATTTTAAAGTTTAAATTTAACTTATTATTTGTCATGAAGTTTTTATTAAGTTTAGTCTAAATTTTTTAAAAGTCAACTTTAACTTATTAACTTTTTTAATAACCTACTTTGTATTAAGACTTTCAATAGGTTATTAAATTTCTTTATAAATATGTTATTAATTGAATTTAATTATTATTGACTATTTACAAATGTAATACAAGTAAACAGAATTATTTTATTGTTTTTAATTAGAAAAATTATTTTGTTAACCTCAAAATAGAGAAAAATTATTTTGTTGCTCCCAATTAGAGAAGACATTGTTAACCTTAAAATAAAGAAAACTAACAATAAAAAGGAGTTATATGTAAAATAAACAAGTATGCAAAAAGATAATGAATGAAATAAACCAATAATAAACGTAATTGATACGATACAAATGTAAATAAACTATATACATATAAGATAGATCAAATAATACTAACGCAAAAAATTCTAGCAAATATAACTCTCTTTTAGAGGATATGTAATAAGGATATTCTTGAATTACAATAGAAAGGATTAGAGTTTTTAATTTAAGATATATTTATTTTAAAATTTAATTTATTTAATATTATATTATATTATATTATAATTTTTATATAAATTATTTAATATATCATTATAAATTTTTAAAATTGAAATAGGCTATTCTAATAAGTTTAATAAATTTATTTTAAGCAAAAATCTAATATATTCAATTAATTAAGTCTTTTAAAAAATATAAATTAAATATATTATTTAAATAGGCCAAAATAAACTATTTTAAAAGAGTTAAGTCATAGGTCTCGATCGGACAGTCTGGTCTATTTTGATTCTAACCAAAAATTCATTATTTATAAAGTTTGAAAGAATTTAATTTTAAATCTTTAAATGTAATAAAAAAATGTGTCTTTTGTACTTTTATTTTTTTTTCAAAAAAATAATTTTATTCTTATTTATAAATTAATGTAAAAATTCAAAATAGTTTTAATTACTATTCTATATTTATATTTTTTTTGTTCATACTGTTGTTTGAGTAATCTAAAAGTAAAAAGAGCACTAATAAAACACGGTAAGAAGTATAACAATAAATTTTAACAAAAAGATAAAATTTTTAATCTATATAGTTTTTGTATATATAAAAATAAAAATAATATTTAAACAAATCTTAATAATAATATGTTATTAGAATATGCGTCATTATAGAAAAAAATTGACCATAAGTAATAGTCAAACTGATACTAATTAAGTTGTTATTAATTTTTTTTATTATTTTAATTAGGCTTACAAACTCAAAAACACTAAAAAAAAACTTAAAAAACAATTTTAAATACCTAAAACTCAAGGAATTGGCCTCTAATAAGGTAGGTTCCTTATCCAAATAAGGAAATCGCAATCCAAAATCAAATTTATACGGACTAGATTATCAACATACTAATTAACTTTTTTTTAAAATATAGATCAAACTAATAGGTTTATATTACTAAAGTAACCAATAAAAAGAATAATTAAAAAATATAAATACAAAAATATATATTTTTATATAAAATATATTAAATAACCTCTTTACAATTAATCTCAATACGTGTATTCTTAAGCTTTTTAGCTTTAATTAATTGTAAACCATAAAAATGGCCCAGAATTCAATCGAAATGGGAAAGCAAAAATCCAATGTTTTTGTTCATAAAACCAACAATAAATACTCTATTAAGACTCTTCAAAACACCTCTATAGGCAACCAAGTGACTCCTTTGAACAACAGTACCATTCCAAGAAATTAATGAATCTAACATGCTCAGTCCTTTTTAAATGAAACATACAAAAGACAAAGATAAAGAAATGTAATTTGTGAAATCAATAATCCCATTAACCATATCAGAGGAGTTCTTTTCCAGTTACATCTTCCAAATTACAATATCAAAGAGAATATCTCAATCATTAAGTTATTCATTACTTTGATTGAAGATTAAAAGATAACCAAAAAGAAAGTTCATAACTATCAAACTACTCCAAATATGTTAAGATAACAACTGATCCCAAATTTCAGAAGCAAAATAACAGTCTCTTCAAATATGAATTATAGATTCAGGGTAAATAGACATTTTGGGCAGAAATTAGAGTTAGACATATTTGTCTTTTTCCTTTCCTAGTTGGTTAAAGGTTTAACATGAGTAAATTTTCTAAGGAAATACTTGATTTTTGGAAGGTCTTGTCAATTCTAAACAAGCTTAAAACTATGTTTTCGCTTGTTATGGATTCTATACAAGTAAGTTAAAAATCCATACACAATTTTAATGGAAAAAATTACATTAGAAGTGAAGCTCTAACAAATAAAGTCAAGATTAACAGCAAAATTAGAAGAAATAAAGGCAACAATCCTATCACATACAAACTAAAGACAAAACTTATTAATTAAAATTAATTTTAAGTACCTTGAGTTACAAACAAAGCAACAGAGAGGTTAACAATATCCCTCGGAATAGGCTAAATAATAAATGTATATGGTTTTTCATCCCAAGTAGTCAATGATCTATCTAAATATTTATATTTAAAAAAAAACATCACTTATAACCTACATAAATTATGCTAAAAAGGAGATAGGAGAGCAATTTTGCCTTTACTTAAAAAGCGTTTTGAACTACTCTAATAATTCATTATGTACAAGTGTGTCATAATTTTAAAAACGATTAACTAATTGTTCTCAGAAATAGAGATTGGAGAACATATGATTTGATATTTTGATGTGGAACTATTCTTCAAAATACACTTGATTGCAGTTCTAGATAGAAAAGCAATTATTACCTAACCACTCTCTGAACTTTAAATATAGAGACGAGCTAGTAGTGAATGTAATGATAGGAAAGAATGACTAAAATTTAATTTAAAATTCACTTTTGTGACACTTTTGTGAAGTGGTTAAGTAATAATTGTAGTCTAAACTTCAACTTAAAAAGTGATTTAGTTTCATATATCAATTACTCTCTTAAATAATGAAGTTAAAAATAATGTTTTTCAAGTAATATTTAGAGAACTTTCTTAATAAACCTTACTCTAATAATCAATTTTAAATAATAGTTTAACAAAAACTATCCTCTAAATTTTTTATTTGTTATTCTAAGTTATAAATAATTGTCGTTCATAATAAGTTATCATTTGAATTTTAAGCACCGTTACCAAAAAAATTTATTTTATTAAAAATTAATTCAGAGTCAAATTATAAGTATAGTTTTAGAAAAAGAAAGTTGCACATGATTTGTATTTTTATACTTTTATTTTGTTTGATATGTTTTCCTTTATAATTGAAAATGCTATTGTTTTCATATTTTTTCTTACTTTCACAATGTCGTAAATGGAATGAATAAAAATAAGGTTTCTTGTTTGTAATATATTTCTAGATTTTGAAAAACATAAAATAAAAATAATATGATATTTTTTGTAATTATTAACATAATAAAATAAAAAGTAATATTTTTATTATTATTACTCAAAGAATATCAACATAAGAGAAACTAAACAAAACCAAACATAAATTGTGTGTTTTCTCAGTATATAAATTTGTTTAGGTTTTCTATACTAAAATAAAATATTTAAAATTTTAAGAAAAATATTAACTTTAGTTCTAAAAATTAAATTTAAATAATTAATAATAGTAATATTTTGTTTAAAAATATTTATTACACTTTTGTATCTCAATACAATAAAGATGTTGTTTTTAATAAAAATTTAATATTTTTAAATGCTTAAACTTGATATTAAAAACTAGTTAATAAAATCTATATTTTAAGTATTGCATTTCTAGCTCCTGCGACTATCTTAAAATATGAAAAAGGGGAATTAATATCCAGTTACCAGTGTACAATTTAAGAGGAGAAGATATACAATGAACATAAATCCAAATATTTTATGAAGGTTTATTCATAAGGAAGAATCACAATAAGTGTTTCGGAACTACTGTTCCTAATTATTTTTTTCCCTCCTAATTCATAATTTCAGTTGATTTATTCTCATCACACTTAAATGCTACATTAACACACTTTTTTTAAAATATATTCTTCAACACACTTTATCTTATTAGTTTAAGTTTTAAAAAGTCAAAGTAACATTTAAAAGATATTAATTGACTTTTTTAAAATAAACCAATGATATAAAGTGTGTTGAAGGAGTGTTATTAGCATTTTCCAATCACTCATTTCTGAAACTCAAGGACAGTCAGATAAGGATCAATGTAGAAGGCACGGAAACGAGAAAAACCAGCAGAAATGCCGATTTGTCTGAATTGCTCTTCAGTTCTGTGCTTCCCCTTCGTTCTATACATTGTCATTACGAATATGTCACCACCAAGCAATGCTCTCGTTCTGCGACTCTCGTCCGTCAACTCCGGCGCAACCGGTTCGCATATAATCAACTTTCCGTCCATCGGAAGTGCCTTATGGCAGTTCTCCATAACCAGCTTGCTTTCCTCGTCCGTCCATGATAAGAACACCCACTGCAAGTTCAAACATTATCAATTTTGATCATTGGATTGGAGAACGTTGGAGTAGGGTTTATAGATATTGAAATTGAGAAGCAGCACCTTGATGAAGACAGCATCCCCAGGGGGTACATATTCCAAAGCGTCACCGCCAACATGGGTTATACCTACATACGTATAATGTTGAAGATGTATTTACTTGGGATCTTAGAAAAGTAAAAGTTACGCTAAAAAGGATTGATTGGGAGAGAGAAAGGCACCTGGAATGGGGGCTGCACGGGCCACCATGTCGGGAAGATCGAAGTTGATACCTTTGCGGATGTTGGGGAAGCTGTCCATAATCATGCGAAGAGAAACACCCGTGTTGCCACCAACATCCACGAGTGTCTCTACGCCTTCGAAGCCATCGTAGACTTGAAGAATTTCCCTCATCAATGGCCCAGCCATCCCAGCCATTGCCTTGTAAAGCAAACCCACTACATCTCCTCGCTTCGTGTAGTACCCTATCGCTCCCTCTCCGTTTGCCTTCACGAATGGTTCCGTCGTTGGATCCACCACTGCTTCCCCCACCAACGGCCATGCTCGCATCAGCGCATCCTGTGCAAACACAATTTATATTTTATATTTTAAAAAATAAATTTATAAAATCATTTAGTAATCATAAGATAGAAGAAACCTATAACTTTTAAGACAAATACCAATAATTCACTTTCTAATAGTTGTTAATTAAAATTTATTAAAAAATTATATAAAGAATGTAAGTCTTAGTCTTAATTTAATGATTTTTTTTTCTCGTGCTATTGTAATGTCTCTAGGTTTCTATTGCTATTTATTAAAAGATAAATGTTTAATTCATAAAAATTAATATTAATATAGTTTTAGTTATTTAATACATTTTAACAAACAACTTTAATTCAATCAGATAAAAACTAAATTATAAACTATCAGTTATAAGTTATCAACTATTAACTTTTAGTTAGTTTTAGTAAATAGAACTTACAACATAATTTCAATTTAGCATCGATACATGTCCTTTAGATGGTAAATATTTATCCTAATCGAACACACAATATTTTTTAAAATAAATATTTAAAAAAAGTTATCCCTATAAAAACTAATGTGGTCAGATACTTTAAAAAAAAAACCAAGTCCTAAAATAATTGAAATTTAATTTATAACGAATGAATAAAAAAATTGTGTTAAAAAATAAATAATAATAAATAAGAGACATAATTTAAAAATATTATTTATCTTTGAAAATATAATTTTAAGGATTACGTGACATCGAAAGAGGATAAGTATTGAGGCCACTTGCATCCCATTTATACAATGGGAAAAGCATAATTATTGATACCACTTGCTTTCCCGATTCTGCTTTGTTAACGTTGACGTTTTGTATTTTAACTGCATTTGGTCAGCGTATTGCATCCGTTCATGTTTTAGTCATCAACGGTTGGAATCACTTCTTTTAAAACATTCCCCGTTGATTTTTTTCAAATGATATTTTTCAATGCTTGAATGTAAGGAATTAGGATAAGAATAAATTCTTCCAACCCACTACTTTCAACTTAAAATTCTTACAAAATTTTAAAAAATAATTGAATTAGGTTGAGAAACACGAAAAATTGCGATGAAAAGTAAAGAAATAACCTGATGATGCTGGAGCATGTAATAAGCATAGGATAGGCCCTGTTCATCGTCAACGAGGGTCTTTCCGATTTCGGAGAGAGAGTATTTCCTTTGGCCACTGCTGCACAAGTGCTCGTCAAAGATGTCGTAGCTGGTGAGCAAGCGGAGGATGCGTTGGAGGTTCTCCGCGTCGGCGCCGCCGTGGGGACGAATGATTGAGAGAATTTGGGAGGCGGAGAGAGGAGTATTGGAACCGTCTTGCCACATGGCCTCGGGGACTTTGAGGTGTAAGATAGCGTTTAGGGACATTGGAACACTCATCATGTGAGCTAGTTCCAAAATCGCAAGCCTTGCTTTGCTTTCAGACCTTGTTGTTGTATTGTTTGTCACTTCCTTCTTCATTTCCACTATTTGCTGCACTTCTCCCATTCCGTGTTGTTTTCTGTTTCTCTTTCTCTCTGAAGTGAAGGGTTCTTTTGTGTTACCCCTTAACTGCTTTCAGAAGACAGCAGACAACACAATTTTATATAGGCGCTAAAATGTATTATTACCGATTGCTAAGGTTCATGGAAAGAGAGAGAGAGAGAGAAAAAAAATCTCTTTCTGGGATACTAATTAACATTTGTCTCTCAAAATATAAATTTTTCTTAAAAAGTAATATTATATTTAATGAAGTAGTTTTAATAAATTTTTATTAATATTTTAAAATATTTATAAATTCATAAGAAAATAAAATAACTTAAATGACCTAAACTTTAATATTTATATTACTTAATTTTATAAAAAATTAAAATAAATAAAAATTATATTTTATTGATTTATTTTAATAGATAATATTTTTTAAAATATAAATAAATATCAAATTTTAGATGATATATGTATAAATGTCAAAAATTGATATTATAAGGATTTAAATTTCTTTATTATTCTAATTATAGTTTAAATTTATTTAATTAAAATAAATATATTAAGATATTTTTTTATTAATTTAAAATATTTCAAAATTAAAGTTATCAACTACTTGTATTTTTTATATTTTTAGTAATAATATATTTTTTCAAAAATATTTTGAATTTTTCCACAGATGAAGTGTATTTACCAATACTTGTATAATAGATGCCAGAGCCAGATTTTCTAATACATTTTGATAGTAGCGCCGCTGGGACAAAATGAATAAATAAAACAACACTCGTTGTCTTGAATAACAATTTTGTATAATATATTTTTATTTTTATTTATAAATGAACAAATTGAACTGGAAGATTAGCTTAAACTTTGTGACGGTGGGTTCACAGCTTTGATCCATTGGGATGGAAATAAGCTGTAGTTTGTTAGACTTTGACTTCTATAAATAAGATTCACTTATTCAACAGGTCACGCACTTGGATACATGAATTTATTATTATAGATTTTTTATATATATAAAAATTTTAACTGCTTGTTATTCAGATTAATTTTTATTAATAGTAATTGAATATTTTTATAAATAGATTATTAAATTATTTAAATGGATATATCTTTATAAAAAGATTTATATATAAATAAATTATAAAAAATTAATTTAATGTCTTAAATATATATAATAAAATTACATATTTTTATTTTATTAAAATATATAATCAAAATAATATAAATACAAACAAGTGTTATACATAGATCAAATAGCAAAAGACTTTAATAAATAGGATTTTCTGTTTTAAAATATAGGTAATATGGACAGTCTTTAACTTCAACAAAATTTATTAAAAAAATTTATTTAATATATCTGCATAATCGAATACGGTGCATAACTCTAAATTATTAATTTAAATTGGTTAGAAATTGTTGTTCAAATAACGTTAATTACATGGGATAGTGTATGTATTTTTATTAAAAAAAAATAACGTACCGGCAATTAATGATACATCAAGTAGGCTGCTTTTCTTCGTGTTCATAAAAATAAAATGAAAAAAATACTGAGCCTGTATCTAAATTTTAGGATATCATAGGTCGATTCAGATTAAATTAGATAAAAATTAAAAATTAAAAAAATTAAATTTTTTTTTAAATAATTAAAGAAAAAAAAATTTATATCTAAATTTAGGATTATTTAGAAAAACTAGCATACCTTATAAAAAAGTTTTAAAATTTATCAGTAAATTTATGTATAATATTTTATATTAAAATGTATAAAATAAATATTTAATTAAATTATTTACCCATCTTATAGTATATATAATTTCTATAATATAAGATTGTGTTAGTCTATCCATCAGGTTAGATATTAGTTATTTTTCAATTGCTAAATTAAAATAACTGCACTTAAGAAAACTTTTAGTATTATATTATTTAACACACTCTTAATTTTCAATAAAATATATTAAAATATAAAATATGTAAATTTTTTATTTAATAATATTTATTCTTAAAGTAGTTATTTTTTATATTTTATAAGTTTTTTTAAAAATTAATTAATAACTTAAAAATAAATTACAGAGAATATTATTAACACTCATATTGTAGCTAATCACAAATCATTAATCATTTATTTCATTAGTTTAGGATTCAATTATTTAAGATTTTAAACACGTGATTTAATAAAATAACGTTTTTAGAATTATGTTTATGGAAATTACAACTTTTAACCTTCGACATAAACATTAAAATAGTTTTCGTTTATTTTAGCTTTTCCTTTTTAAAAACAAAAATTTTAGTCAAAAATGTTTTTCAAAAAAGAAAAAAAGTCACTAACAACAAATTTTGTAACCAATTATTTAATAAATAAAATTATATATTGTTTTTTAAATATTTGTGTTGTTTATTAATTAAATTCTATGTTTTATCTTACTAAAAATTATATTTAATATTGTTATAAATTGCTGAAATAAAATTATAATATTAATTAAAAAAAACTAAAAATGTTTATAATATAATACTTAAATTATGTCCTTATTTAATAAATCAAACCAACTGCCACGTGATTTGAAGGTCGCGTTCCTTAACCCATCTTATCATTTAAGTGATTAAGACAATTTTCTTAACTTAAAGTGAATTACTATTTTAAGTCACTAAAATTTAAAAGTAAAACACCTCTGCATACATAAATTAGATATATTCAATTGAGAAACATGTATTCTTTAAAATACATTATTAATAAAATTGTGTAAATTTTATTTTTTTACTTTTAATTTAATAATTCTTTTATATATATATATATATATATGTATATATGTATATATTAGTTTTTAATAAATTTTAACTGATAATTAAAACTATATTAAAAATACTAAAAATATGTTACTAAACTTTTTCCATTCAATTTAAAGAAATATTTTCAAGCAATTGATAAAAAGTGTTTAAATTTTATTTATATTTTTTTATAAACAAAACAAATCTTATTAAAAAGAATTCAAGAGAAACTTACAAAAAATTACTTATTCAGAGAAATAACAAGTAAAAATATACTTATACAAAATTTTATTTATATTTAAAAAATATTAATTTTAATTTAGATTTAACTCTAATGTTAATTTAGATTACGTAAATTAAAAAATTTATTTATTGGCTAAAAACAGAAGAAGGACCCACAGCCGAAACTTGAACGAGAATATCCAAATTGGCATTCACGCCTCAATCAATTAAGATGCCATTTTATCATAAAATAAGTTACCTTCACGTTTTTCAAGTCTTGGAATTTCCTAAATCTGCACAGAGGCGAAATGTTGGCTTGTTTTCTAGATACGCTTGGTCAGCTTGTCCTTAATAAAATTGATAATTTATTTATAAAAATATAAATAAATTACAACTTTTAATTTTGAAAAAATTGTATCCTATCCTTTAAGTTGAAAAGTGTTATAACAAAAACGTAAAAAAAATATTAATTTATTTGTAATATTATATCTACAAATAATTTATTGATAGTTATGACTCATTTTAATTATTAATGGAAGAGAAAATATTATATCTCTAATATATCAAACGGTTAATATTCACTTGGACCACCCTTGTCCTTTATAAGGTGGAAGGCTTGCGTGGCTGCTTTGTTAAAAAATAATTGATGGGACTTTTGAGTGCTTTTAACTGCTCTTCGTCCTTCCATGTTAAAGAATAAAGATTCTCTCGTCATCATATGAATAATTATATACAGTACAAATAATTTATATATAACGAGAAACACGTGTTAATTTAAAGTTTTTATTCATTGTTCTTGCATTCTTATCATTCATCTGTTTGCGGTAGAGCCAACTAAGACAAGTCTAACAACCATACAGTTATTTTTTTTTATAAATAAAATGTATATTATTAAAAAAGATTTAAAGAAAACTTAAAATCTATATATATATAAAAAAAAATTACTAATTCAGAAAAATAAAAAATATATTTATACAATACTAAGACAGATATAATTTTGCAGGTTCAAATATTAATAAGCTAACAAAATAACTTTTTTTTTATTAACAAGTAATAGTCACTTTTAAGATTTCAGAATAATAGAATCTAAAACTTCTCTCTCATCTAAAATACTATTAAAAAATACAATTTTATTTATATACAGTCACAAAGATCACTTATTAATTCAAAGATTCTTATTTTAATATGATTAAAAATAATTTGCATATATTTTAGATGTTACATGTTTTCTTAATTGTTTCTAATAAAAATGTGTATGATTTAAATTTAAAGAATATTATTTTAAACGAATAAACAAATTATTTCATTGTTTTATAAGAAATTTTTAAAAACTCTTGGACAATATATATTCATCTTTTTTTTTAATTATAGTTTTAGATTTTTATGTTTATTAAAAAATTTAATTTAGCTTTTTTGTTTAACTTAATCATTCGTCTTCTTTTTTAATTTCATGTCAGTCCTTTCAATTAATTATATTGATTAATACCTGAAAAGAAAAATTCTATCTGAACCAGACAATGTTAAAAGTGGTTCTTTTTTTCTTAAAAAAAAAGTCACCAATTTGCTTTTTCTTCCCCACTCTTCGCATCACTGTGACAGGCCATAATTGTAGATTTTCTTCTAGTTTTTCGTTCCCTTTTCCACGCTACAATTTCAAGGCATAATTGAATTTCTCATTTCAATGACTACCAAAAACAATAAAATAAATTTCATCAAATCCAACAAAAATTCAACATCTATTAACTTTTCCTTCCCACATGTTTATTGGCACTAATATCTTTTGTCATATTCTTATTTATTTAAATATTATTATGATCAATTTAATTCATCAATAAAAAATTTATATAAAATTTATACAAAAGAATGTATCAATGGACAATTTAGAGTACATTAGCCTCACTACTAAATAATAACTATTTTTCAAAATTTATTATTATTAGTTTATGTTTACCCGTATTGCACGTGTTTTTTTGTTAATCTTTAATTTGTTTAACTAAAAGATACTATAGGCTAGAGTTTCTCTTTCTTCTTCATCTTTCCTCTTTATTTTAACCCTTTTTTTTTTTCCTCATCTCTTCCTCCTCATCATCTCATCTATTCCCTTTCACCCTCACCAACCTCCTCTTTTTCTCTATCTCTTCTTCCTTCAGTCTCACTCAGTCTCTTTCTCCTTCTCTTCTCATCTAATTCTCATCCCCTTTATTACCACTCATTTTCATCTCTTTCTTCCTCATTTAGCCTTTTTT